AAAAAAAAAAAAAAAAAAAAAAAAAAAAAAAAAAAAAAAAAAAAAAAAAATCGTTTTAGCTGTATAACATAACCGATCTTCGTATTTACTAAATTCCAAGGTCGTGTGACTTGGTGACTCGTTTCAAAAAATTCCTAATTCAATATCCATGGACTGGTTTGATCGATCATATTCTTAAAATTAAAACAAAATTTATGGATAGGAACCTAGGTAGGAGTAGTTCTAATAATGCCACTTACCACTCTAGTGAAGACTTGAATATGCTAAACTTCTTAATACAAATATTCTTCCGTTTGAGTAAATTCGAAGTCTTTATCCCATGACATGGAATCGAACGGAATAAATTTGGGCTCAGAAAAATTAACCAAACTCAATCCTAAAATGCTAATCCAACTCAATCTAACTCCTATAGTTTGGGTTTGGGTTGGGTTGGTTTGGATTGTCAGGTTAAATGTATACCCTTACCTCTAACATCTCTGGCCACAATTCTTCTTTGTCCTTGGGTGGTTGTGGTAGTGACATAATCTCGTTGGTGGCTAGAGGAATTTTTCTAGCCTCGTTTGGAAGTGGATACTGTTCTGTCCTAGAGAAGGACTAATGATGGCACAATTGTCCGTTCTTGGGTGTAGGCTCGACAACAATCCGTCTTCTTTTGGGAGCCATTATGTGTCATCATATATAAGAATTTTGGATAAATACTAGACTAACACGTTATGCAATAAACAAAAGTGCAAAAGTAGCGGAAAGGCACTTACCTAGTTGTCGTGAGACATGTCTCGAAGTAATACATGAATAAACTAATAAACCTACTATGATATATATATGACAACCCTTCAAAGTTCCACATGTCACAATTTGATTGGTTCTCCAAAAACTCGTGTCACAATTTGATTGGTTAATGATGATTACTCATTTGCGTTATAGTCTCTCATATTTTCCACTAAAATCGGTTGCTTTCTTTTATCTCCGAGTCATTGAAGTCTGCAATGGAGAGCTCGCAGAATCCGAACACAATCCCAAACTCTAACCCCAATCGAATCCAGAATCCCGTATCGTCACAGATTGCTGCGTTATGGCCGACCATTGATGCTTCACTGGGGTTGTCGGGGGAAGAGTCGGTGAGCTATGCCCGTAGATTCTACAAATTTGGATTCGCATTGCTTCCGTTTCTTTGGGCGGTTAATTGCTTCTACTTTTGGCCTGTTCTCCGCGATTCTCACTCGTTTCCTCGCATCCGACCCTGTGAGTTTGCCTCTCTATAATTTTGGTGCACGCAGCTGTACTTTCAATTATTTTCTTGATTTATACTTAGAGGTAATCGTTAAAGGATGATGAATCGAGATAGAACTTCTGTTCAGAGGAGAACTTGAATCAGACCAATTCCTAACCTCTATATTTCAATGACGGTAGCATTAGGTTGTTGTTGTTGTTGAGATGTTTTTAGTCTTACCATTACTCTATTTCTGTTTCACAAGGTATGTTTCGATGTGTGGTATGCCAAGAATCCAACCACTATGTAAAGAAATGGACGATGTCGTTGTAGATATTCATATTAAAAAATGGGCGCCCATTGATTTATCGTAGTCATTTGTTTTTCTCGCTTAGGCTTGGTTCATAAATACTGGGAGTTCTAAGCTGTTAAATGTTCTAATACCCTGATCTCTAAGTGTAGATTAAGGAAAGTATTGTCTTGAGTTTGTTAGCTTTTGTGATGATACTTTCCTCAATGATACCTTTATACTCCTGATCATTTGATAAAAAACTGGTTAAAAAATCAGTGATCCTGTTCATATTCATTAAATTGAGTCTCAAGAATTTAGAGGTATTATATCGTTTTCCAAAGTCATCCCTCTGTTCAAGTGTGTAGTTATGCGTTTCTGTCACTTGGCACCTTATGTCCTACGAAGTGTAACACTTTCGAAGGAAGCTAAATATTTTTGGTTCTTTCTCTCTAAGTATACAATATTTTTAAAAGTTTGGCCTCAGATTGTTTGTTGTGGTTTTCGTTCATTTAATTTCATTTTGCTTATCATTTTTGTAAGAAAAAATGTGTGAACTTCATTATACATCGATCTGGTACCTAGAGGGGTGCCTACGTGTGTATATGTATGAATTTAGTATAAACCTACTAGGAAAATAAGGGTAGTTTTGTACGTAAAAAGGGTGGTTTTTGTCAGTGCACATGCATGTGGATGAAAAACCCTCAAATAGGGCCTTTTCACAGTTGTTTGTTCTGTGTTAAATGCAGTCTCTTCCTTTTCATGTATCTCCTAGGTGCTAAGGGCATTGATCGTTTGGAGATATTCTCTGAGGCCCTCAGTCCAAGCCAACTAGGAAAATAAGGGTGGTTTTGTGCATACATGTATGTAATAATTAGGGTGATCCACCTAGGGTTGTGTGCACGGTATAAGGATGGTTTTGTGCATGATACAGGGTTGTCCATCTATGTATGAATTTAATTATGCACTAACTAGAAAAATAAGGATGGTTTTGTGCGTGTGGGTAGCAAGGTTTGTTTTGTGTGTGTATGAAGGTTGGATTGATTTCTCCATTGAGGTACACTTCTAAGCCATGGCTTTAACCCACAAGCTTGAAAACTTAATAACATATAACTAGAGGGCCCTGGGTTGTGTGAGTGTGTGTAATAAGGGTGGATTTTTGTTTTTGTTTTGTTTTGTTTTGTTTTGTTTTTCTTTTTTCTTTTTTCTTGAGATACTCTCCAAGGGCCTAGGTTCTACCCACAAGCGTGAAAACATAATAACTTATAAAACCTGTTGTTCCTCTGACTTGGACTTGGTTTTGGCTAAGCCTCTTTGGGGATCAGTGGAAAGGCTCGTGTGATGCAGAGATGGTCCCTCAACACCTCAGTTTTATTTTTTATTTCCTTTCTATTTCATTGTTACACTTTCCGTCCAATGTACACAAGTCACAGTGATTAAAACTTAAAAGTGATAATATATCTGTTGCTTAATTTTTATTTTAATCTTATATTAGTAAGTGTCCCTATTAGCTTACACACACATCGACTAGTCTCAATATATGGTGGGAAATTCTGGACACTTCTCTTGTGAAAATGTTTATATCATGGGCGTCATAGATTCAAGTCCATAATTTGTTTGTAACAAATTTTAGAAGTTCAACATATCTAAGAAAGCTACGTTCTTTCTTTGATTTATTTACTATGAAAAGTTTGACACTGCAGAAAAGTTCGAAATATCTAAGAAAGCTAATGCTTGATGCTCTTAGTTGGTTTATGGTTTTTCCAAATGAGATATCCAGTTTCCTAGCTTCAGTTTTTGTATGTCATCTTTTCCATGGTATGAAAAAGACCTTTTGGATGACTATAAACCAAGTGTCTTTTGTTTCCCTTAGAATTAGAAGAATTCACGGATGTTCGGGAATGTTTTCCCAACTTTTCATAGCTTTTTGGTTTTGTTTTATAACATGCTTTGTATTGGTGTAAACATGCACACCCTTTTAGAGATTATAATCCATCTTCTTTAATTTCTAATTGAAGAGCTCTTTTGCAATGCCTCTTTTGGTGTTGGAAGCCCAATAAGCAACTTGTATTTTCATTCATCAATGAAATTGTTTCTCTTCTAAAATAACAGACAAAATTTAGTATTTGGTAGTGTATCTCTCTTCTTAATGGCTGTCCAGCTAATAAGAATGGTCAGGATCAAAGCCATATGATGATCTACTGAACTTTAGCATGAGGATATGGTTCAACATTCTGGATCTTTTCAACCTATACTGGTGCTTTCCAGCCGGCACTCAGTACTCATTCAAATTTTAATAACTCGTCTCAGCTTCAAAAGGAAGTCTAAATTATGGCGGATGAACATATTTTCAGCACAAATTTTGGATCTTTAGCTACAGTTCCTAAGAACTACTGAGAACGCTGCAGTTTTCCCAGCTTTTTTCAAAGATATTCCTTGCATATAAAGCTTTTTAATCGATTCTCTTCATTTATTCAAATAAATTGGAGAAATCTTTTGTAATCCCATTTGGTTTTTGTTGAGGGTTGGATGTCTTATCTGTCATCACACTTTTCCTAGGTTTAGACTATTGTGGTAGAGTGATCATTTTTCCTTCATGAATTTTAACAAGGCAGTTTTTGGGTTCTTCCTTGAACCGCATTATGGTAGATTGTTCATTTTTCTTTTATTTTGTTCCCATTAACTGACTTTGTTACTCGGCAAAATTATCTATAATTATTTGAAATTGTTCTTCCCGTAGATATTGTTGGCTCAGCTATTGGGTTTGCTGTTTTCATGGCCATTATCTCCTCTTGGGCCTTGACATTTTCCATTGGAGGAGAACGCCTCTTTGGACCCGTGTGGAACAAACTAGTAATGTACAACCTTGCTGACAAATTAGGATTGACAGGTTGGAGCTAGTCTGCTTCTCTCCATTCAGCATCTAATTTTGATCTTCTTGTATATTTCAAAATGCGTAACTCTCTACTGTCATTCTTTTCTCCAAAGATCAAAGATGAAGCTTTTGGGTTTACTTCTCCAAGTACTTCAAGGTTCAAACATAAACCTAGACATGCTCATTTAAGAGCTCCTCCCCATAAGTAACAAAAGGAAACTCAGATTTAAGCATAATCAACATGAAATTTGTTGAGTTAAACAAACATAAATGGTATGGTTTAAAGCACACATGAAATCACATCGCCATGTTGGATCTTGTTCACCTGTATTACTGAGATTTGTGGATTCAATACTAAACTGATTCTCTTTATGTTTCCTCTGCATCCTTTTTCTCCTTCCAATACTATAAACTGCGCCCTCTTTTCTGGTTCCCTTTAGAACATTCATTTATCTGGTGGAAAACATCTTGATGTTAGAAACTTTGTTAAAATTCTTTAGAAGGAACTGTGTAGAAGGCGTCAAGTAGCACAAAAACTAGGTAGAATTGTGAACTAAGATGTGATTAAGAGAAGAAAAAAAAGGCAGTGAGAGATTTTATTAGGATATTGTTGTATTTCTAATTTGAGACATATCTGTCACAGTTGATTCAGCGTATCAGATAGCATTGAAAGAAGTTTGTTTCCATATGCTACCTTTGGATAATTGGCTCCATCAGTTAAGGCTGTGGATTCACTTAATTAGCTTTTGTAATTATATAAACAACTCTCTTGATGCTTTGTGTTGCTATCAATACTCCAAATGAGGAACCCAATCACCAAAATAGACAGATGAGGGAGCCAAAGACTTGCTAGAAATAGCGATGGATGGATAGGGTCTGGGGAATCTGATTCTTCAATGGCGTCTGTTTGGTTAGGTTTCCTTTATTACTTAATTTTAAACCTAATTTTTCTATTTTAGCACACATGGGTTCGGTTCGGTTGGGTCGGGTCGGGTTTAAGAAGTCATGTATCACCGAACTTTCAACCCTTGACATTGAGAAAAAAATAAACTTTTTATTTTTTAATATAGTTTTGTTTTATAAATTTTATTTAAATGTTTAAATATATTTTTCTTCGTTTTTCAAAGAATAAAGTAATTAAGATTCAGGAAATGGAATAATAAGGATAAAATCATTATTTGAAGTGACGTTTGCTACATTATTAGAATTTCTAGTTTTTGATAATATTTGCTATAAATGATTGTAACAGTTGGCAATAAGGGTTTTGCCTAGTTCAAAATTAATAGGCATCCCTACTTTATTTATTTATTTTATAAATAAAATGATTTTGTCGGATTTTATTAGTTTCTTATATGTAGAAATGTGTAACGATTACGTGCTTAAATAAAATCAATAAATATGTTGATTCAAATTCTTAATTTTTATTATTTCAAATTTTTCAAACAATCTTCCTACTAATACCTCTATTAAATATTCATTTAAACTCTTCAAATTAAATATTTTTTATTTATTTAATATATTTAATATTAATTTCAACCTTTTAAATTATATATATTTTTTCTTTATATTTAATATATCCATCATTATTTACTATTTTATTTTTCCAAATGATAAAATTTTCTCAATTGAAACAATTTTTTTTTTTTTTTAATAAAATGAACCTTATAAATCATTTTTAATGTTAGTGATTTAGAATAGGTGTCTGTCCTAAAATAGGTAAGTGTTCCTTCACTATAATGAGACAATGATTAATATTTAACAATTATACAAAATTAATTAATTAAATTATTTAATTCATCAAATTTCATTCATGAATTATAAGTCACTCCACTAGAGTTGCACTCTTACGCACGATAGGATTAGTTATGTCAACTGATATAACCATTACAAGCAAGTCAATCCTTTACGAGTGGTTCATAAATATAGCTAGATCAAAAATTTCTTTAATCCTTATAATTACATCTTTCACTTTTAAGTACCACTTATTCTCTAGTGCACAATTTGTTTATAACCTAATCATAAACCAAGTCTGCCAACGAGATGGTGGGGCTCTATTGTTCAAGTCTCGAAATCAATATTTAAGAGAACAGTTCATCTACTTTTCTTTTATGAAAACGAGTAATTTCATCTGATAATATTATGTTCATAATTTTCTATTTGGTCAAGTTTCCAAAATGGTAGGCATATTGAATCGGCTACACGACCCATTCTCAGCCATATAAATTAAAAAACAAGTCCTCATAGGCAAGAATTCATAACTCACTCAGGTCTAAGATCGAGTTGCATATGATTATCATAGGAAATATTAATCTTCTTAATTAATGGATTTATGAAGAAAGATTAAATATTTCTTGGTTCGTCTTATACAAACTCATTGTATAGTAGGAGTGTACATTAAACTCGACAACCTGAATCAACTCAACTCAAATTATAGGAGTTGGGTTAAGTTGAGTTAGCATTTCTGATTGAGTTGAGTTAATTTTTTGAAAATAAAAAATATTGGGTTCCGATTTCAGAGTTTGTTGGACAAAAAATTTGTTCTAAAACTGAGACAGATAATTCTAAATTCTAATTTATTGATTATCTCTTTGATGCAACCTATAATATCATAATTTATATTTTTCTAATTTTTCAGATAATTTAGGACACTCAAGTTTCATCAATATCATGCTTAAATAAGTCTCCGGTAATTAAAATATTTCTATAGTAGTTTTTATTTTTCAATTTTATGGTCTATTTTTGTATTTTTCTTAAATTTAGAGTAATCAATTGCTCAGAAAGTGTCGCTATTTAGTTGTTTTTAGTTTTATGGTAATTGAACTGTTATAATTCTCAAAGAAGTTGTTTGTTTGAATTATTATAGATTGATTTGTGTTTAGAAAGATTCTTATTAAATAATTATAAATTGCGAAGAAATAATTTTTTTTAAAAATTAAACTTTTTTAACAATTTGATCATCTCATCCAAAAATAAAGGGTTGGATTCAGGTGTGAAAATTTTAAGGTTGGGTTTGGTTATCAATCTAACCATTCCCAACTTTTGGGTTAGTCCAAAAAATTCCCTCAACTCAAACCCAACACCACCCACGCACACTCTTGTTGTATAAATATCTCAATTCACGTGTCTTCATATGAACAATTTGGATCAAATCATTTGTGACGATACAAAGTGGATTGTATTAATAGTGTTACCAAGATAAAGACACGCTACCATATCTATATACTATAGACCTTTTAAATTATTACTTAAACATGATCTTCTCGTATGTCAACCACGTCAACCACATCATATTCAAGATTATATTAATAACCTTAGGTTTTTATACCATAAATAATATTAAATTATAAATAAAATAATAAAAATTATTATCAAAATTAAATAATTAATTACGATACATTAAGACATAACTCCCAACAGATCATTGACCGGGGACAAAAAATACCCAATTATGGGTGTGAGGCTAGGTGGTCAGTTGTAGATTCGAAAAACTCGAGCACCCGATTCTCCCGACAACTATTAATTTTATCTAACTAATACATTCATTACTAAAAAAGAATATTTGCATAATAACAAAAATAAGATAAATAAGTGATAATTTTTCTTTTGCAATAATAATAATAATAATAATAATAATAATAAAAGATTACTATAATTAAATAGATAGATAAAAATACACTATATTATATTTGCATCTATAAGTTACTATAGAAAAGTTCCATTCATCTAGCCAATCTAACCAAAAAACATTAGCAATTGAGAAATGATATCCTAAAACATAATTAAAACCAACTAACCTCAGCTAATTAAGCACTAATTGGTGATTAATACATTAGAAGTTCTTCATAAAATACTCATAATTGAAGTAATCAAGCTGATCATTAACTTGATTTGAAGCATTAGGCAATCCCATTTGAGAATTTGAAGAACAACCCATCATCATTTGATCATCCGTGAGCTGCATGTATGACAATGGCATAATTGAGTGAGTAGGAGCAAGAGGAACTCCATAGTGGCACATTGAGTAATTTTGTGTGCTATCCATAATCATCCCATTCGTTGGATCACTACAAAAATTAGGGTTTTGGAAATAATTTCCATGAATTTGAGGTACTGATGACCCATAAATGAATTGATTCAAATTCTCAAACTCATGATCCATTTGAATCATTGGAACAGCTGAGCTCCCAGCTTGAAGATCTTGTGGCATTGCTTGGATTTGATTATATGTCATCATGGGCTGTGTTTCCTCAAATGATATCACTTGGTTCTTGTTCATGTTTGCATTTAGGGTTTGGTTGCTTCCTCCTGATACCCTCTCCTCAACATTCTCAATTCTTCTCTTTGTAGCATCTAGCTTTGAATCTATCTCGACTATTAATACTCGTAATTGTTCTTCCATTAAATACTCGAGCCGTTCATCCCATTTTGGATACCTGATATTAACAATCGAACCATAATCAAGATATTGTCCTTTTTGGTGGGATCGTACAAAATTAAGTAGTTTCAATTACCTGGCTTTTGCAACATCCTTGCGAAGCTTGGACATATCGGATTCGATCTTCTTTTTCCGATCGGAAAAGAAGTCGAAGAGATTGAAAGACTTGCGTGTTCGTTTGTGGAGACAGTTAGCTTTGTAAGAAGCGATCATATCATTGACAGAGTCACAAGACGACGGCCATGTGTGAACGGGAGATTGGTCACTTTGACTCGGACCGTGGACAATGACACAAGTACGAACATCGCAAAGTGTAGAGAGCTCGTAAGCTTTTCTCATCAAACTATTCTTTCGCTTAGAAAAAGTAGTTTTTCGAGATTTCTCGTTACTAATCAATTTCATGCTCAATTTCCCTCTCCCCATGTTCTTACTCGCACAAAAAAAATATATAAAAAAAATAATTCAGAAACCCTTAAATCGAAACAAAAAAAGAAAAATTTAATTGGAATCAAGTAAACAGGAACTCACAGTTGGTGTAGAAGAAGAACGGTGAAGTCACGTGATAATGCCGGAGCAGCGATCGGCGGAGGC